CTCCGCTCCGAACGCTCCGAGAGGGTGAGTCCTGGGCGTGGAGCAGCCCGGAGGCCGGGGCGGTGCGCGCCCCGTTGCCTCACAGAGGTCGGGGAGACGGTTGCGTTCACTGTATTTTACGCTCTCGCTTCAAAAATACTGTTTCTTTTGGGCACAATGAGTCTGATTTTGTTCTCCTATTTCTGGTCTTTTTTTTTTTTTTTGCAGTCGTGGAGGTGACTGAAGGCAAAACGACCACAGTAAGTCCCTGCACCCCTTTCCCTCATTAGCTGCCCTTGCCGTGGCTTCTCTCTCCTTCAGCCTCTCTCGCTCTGTGTGTGTATCCGCGGCCTTAAAGAAAAAAAAGAAAAAAGGTAAAAGGGTCTTTTTTCTGCCTGAAAAGCATCCCAGGGTGTGAAGACAAAACTGAGGTAGGAATGCGTTGCGAGTGCAGGTAAGTAGGTGACAAGTTTGGCTGACAAAGGTTGCTGGCAATGCGTACTTCTAATCGGAACCACCCATGAGCACGCAAACCCCTTGCTGCACCCCTGGTAAAGCTGGAAGCTCTGACCAGAGGCATTTGGGACCCAAAACCGAAGAGGCAGTTCTTCAGATAGGGTTGTTTCTTAAAACAGTGACACTTGACGTTGTCTTGAGTGTGGGTAAGCATGAAGGAGGTTCTCCTGGTGGCCTTGTCCCTTCGCCGTGGGCCAGTAATGCAGGCTGGTGTTGCAGGATGGCTCTGTACCAGCTGCACGCCACGCGCATCGCTTGCCTTTGTTCTGTGTGGCGTTTGTTAATCGCTCTGTGTGCCATAGTGACTGCAGGTGATACAAAGCTTGCATCTTTTGTTGCGGTTTATAAGAAAAAAAAAAACTCATTGAAAGGGGTATGGTCAAAGGAAGACCTTAAATAGTAAAGGAAAAATGCTCCTGGAAATACAACAGAAATTCTGAAGTAACTCAAACAAGAGCATTTTCTCAGCTACAGTTTCAGATATAGAAAGAACGGACCAAAGCAGTAGAATTAGAATTCTTCTTAATTAACACTGTCTGATCTGTTGCACTTTGTCAAGAGAATCTTCCTATTTTAGAAGGAACACTAAAATTACCCAAGAGAGGGGAGGCGACTGCGTTATTCTGCTCACGTTACATGTGCCAATAGCAGTCTATGGCACATGTCTTGGCTGGAGACAGCACAGATATTTTGAAATGTGTAAGTATGATGAGGAGAGTGAAACAGGAATTATTTGGGAATTGTAATAGTAAATATTTGGGAAGACAGTGCACCTAAATGCTAATCTATATATACATAAGGAGAGGGATAGACATTTTGCTTGTTGATGAAGCAGACAAAACCTGGTGATTCATGCCTTTGAAAGTCTGAGTTTCTTTCTTTACCTTAATTGTATTAGTGGACATTGTCATGTTTGAAACCTGAATCGAGCAGGTTATATATTTTAGATGTGTAAGATCAAACAGAATATGGCAATTAGCAAGATTACGAAGACTGTCAACAAAAATAACTTTAAGGTGTGACAGTAGGTGTGATGGAAAGTCTCTTTTTTTTTCTCTTCAGGTGCCACGCTACTAATCTTTGCCCAGAGCCCTGAATACCTTGCAAGCATACCCTGAAGTTGTTTTAAACAAAACAAGGGGATAGTGTGCACACCAACACAACACGCACCATGGATTGCTGCACTTTGCGCTCAGTCCATTTCAACGGGGATGTAAATTATAATTGCAAAGTCCCAGTAAGTTAACTGAGGCTTTTGAAGTAAAAGGCATGTGCTGCAGTAGCAGAGCCCTTAAGAAAAGTGATTCTTCCTGGCCCATTGTAGGAGTGTAAGGGACATTTGCAGATTTCTACTGTATAATATTCTAACATCAATCTAGGATCACCAGTGCCCCAAGATGAAGAAAATCTTGTAACAAATGGTATAAATTGACTGACCAGAGGGCTGATATATTTTTCAGCATATCCTCTGGTCACTCCATTTATGCTGCCAACTCTTGTGTCAGTCTCTTCTGATCCATTTTTCTGTGCTCATCTCTTTATGTGTCCTTGTTTTTATCGGTATTGAAGAAAGCATTTGACATGAACCAGATGAATGAATCCCAGAGAAATATGGGTTTCATCAGCATACCAAGTATGCAGAACCCCTATATTCTCTCTTAGTTCTCTAACAGAAGTGTAATAACAGAGTGGGTTAATAGCCAAGTCATCAGTAACTGGGGAGTAATTGTGAAAAACTGTACACTGAAATTTATCTTGGGAAAAATTGATATTGACATAGCATACTGAATCTATTCATTTCCAAGGTGGAATTAAAAAGTACAGTCTGAAGCCAGACTCTTAAGAATCAAGGCTAAATACATAGTCTTCGCAGAAAATAACTTCACCAATGAACAGAAAATTAGATACTGGCCTATATTTTATATTCATAGTTACTTTTTTGGTTTTGTAAAACTGGCTGTTCAACTTGTGGGAGGAGAAATCTTAGAAACTTACAGTATTTTCTTTGAGGTACCAAGATGCTCAAACTATAAGTAACTTAGCTGTTTCCATTTTGTTATCACTAGACAAGAAAGACAGAAATCCACAGCATAAAATAGTTCTAACAGTTCAGCTGGATGCCGGTGTACACTTACAGAAAACATCATGCTTTGGTTTTCCCAGGTTTTCAGGTGCAGAACCTGACAGTTCATTTTAAACCATTGAGCTTTTTTCTTAAAAGTAGTATTGCATTCTACCCAGGGTTTCTTTTTAAACTCTCTGGTGCTTGTGCTATTTGAATATTTGAGTGGCAGTTGGTATTCAAAATCTGGTTTTAATCTGAATTTGATCAGAAAAAACTTCCAAAATATTTTGGAGAAAAAAAGTCTTCTATTGTCTTTTCTGCCTGTTCAGCTGCAATCTGAGATAGCTCTTGCTTCTGATCTTAAGTCTTCAAAAAAAGACATGCACGCATATAGACAGATTACATATTCCTAACATAACTACATTTAGAAAACAAATTTCTCAAGTTCTTCCCAAACACACTTTCTCTATCTCTTTGCATGTTACTCTTGAGAAAACTCGAGTGTTAGATGTCACCACTTTGTAGTGATATAAAGAAGATTATAAAGTGATCTCCTAAAGGAATTGTTCAGGGAATTAAACTGGATTAAAATATGGGTAAATTATTAAAAAAAAAAAAAAAAACAAAAACACCACACCACCAAAAAACCCCCACAGACCTCTCCAAACAGTCCTTTCTTACATTTAACCTTTGTTCAGAATTTTCCCTGCTGGTAATTTATAATCTAACAAGCCCCTGCTTGGTTTGGTCCGCAACGTGCGTGTGCTATTCAGTGATGTTCTCTCATTCCCAGAAAAAATGTGTGTTAATGTTTTTGGCTAAAGGGCCACTGCAGTCTCAAGGCATGGTGGTTCGAAGGAGTACTGCAACACATGGAATTCGGTTGACTATGAGGACCTGGTACGGGCTGTGAACCAGTGTACATTTAGTAAAACTTACACAAGCCTTTACAAAATGGCTCTCTACGCCCCCTGGATTTGTTCTTTTCCCCATAGCCTGTGTATATTCAAAGTGCTCGCTGTGTCTGTCTATAAGCAAGTTAAATAATGCAGATACTGTTCCCCGTGCATCTGTACAATAGTGGTCAGCGTGTTGTGGGCTTGATGGAAAGTATTCCTCAGGTCAGAGGTAGATGTCTAAACTATGTCTGATCATTATACCCTTTGAACTGTTTTTTAGATTGAAGGGAGAATTATAGATGATGCTGCAGCACCAATTCCTCCAAACCCCTCTGGCCAGTGTCCCATCTGTCGCTGGAACCTGAAGCATAAATATGATTATGTGGTGAGTTCAACAAAGGAGAGTTCCCCCACCCTCATAGCTGGATAAATACCACTCTCCAATATACATACTGTGCAGCCTGCCCTTCTCGTCTTTTGGTGGGTGTAGTAAGGACAGTTAACTCCATCTCTGCCTCTCTTGGGTGTAGAACAAGAGCTTCCAACTTAGTAATTGTTTGCCTTGGCTGATGGTGTTCCTGGGAAAAAGAAGGATGAGCTCACATTGAATAGGAGGTTTGGAATTATACACGTGTGGCCATCTGATCTGAGAAGGCCATATATCCCTTTGGTGCCTAGCTGCCTTTCAGAATTGCACATCCCTCCCGGAGGATCAAACTGGAACACAACATTTAGTCAAGCGTTTCAGGCCTCTTCTAACTCCAGAGAGGCCAAAAGACTTGACCAGATCAAGTATATGTCTTCAAGCACCACAATTTCTCATTGGGTCATTGTCCAGTAAGGTAGTAACTGATGTATATAACTTTATAAAACTCTTGATGAAGGAGAGCATACGTGTTTACATCCCTTGCAACAGCAAAGATAGGTTTGGTTGAAGCTTTTTGCAGGAAATGCTAATGAGAAGTTTATTAACTATGTGAGGATTACTAACACTAAATGTAGATGATGTGAGGGAAATCCTGTAATCCTTTAAAACAGAAGCACGGCAGTCAAGAACACTTTAGAATAAGAAGCGTCAAATAGAAGATGCAGAATGTAACTTTACAAGAGGTTATTCAAGCACAAAGATTACAGAAGGGCCAAAGTGCCCTCCTTACAAGCTAAAAACCCAGTACTGGAATGAGAAAAGGAAAAAAACCAGACAGGGATATGCTGTTACTAAGATAAGGCAACGGAAAACTCAGAATAAGTTAACGTCAGTAGGATTAGGGCAAGAGAGATACCAAGGCATCTGGAGGAAAAGAAATCTTTGAGAGAAAGACGGGCCATCGATGACAGGAGAAGGGGACTGAAAGCCACGTTGGCAGCAGAGTGACCGAGTTGCTCGCATGCAGTCCTAGAGCGCACACAAATGAAAAAACAGGTTTTCATGTGTAGATCATAACGGCAATCTTGCACATGTGAAACAACAGGGGAGAAAAAACAGGTACAGAAATAACTTTAGCATTGAATTAGGTACAAACTGTCAGGCCAGGATTGCATGTAGCCCCAAGAATCAGCTAACATATATTACTTCACTTGCAGGAATTTTTTTAAGTGTGGAAAAAAATCCTAAGGAATCACCAAATGGTTTGAAAATAGCAAGTGAAATACTGAGTGGTTGAGACATGAAGGGGAGTGATGCTGATTATTACCACTTGGTAAATCAAACGTTGCAAATTCCAAGTAAAATGGTATCAACTAGGAGTAAAAACAGATAACCTGTTGGGTAGGAATTATGACTCATGAATTATGAAGAACATGAGTACGGAAATACTGCCAGACAAAATATTTGCAGTTACTCCAGGTAGGTGAAACAACAGATGTGAGATGTAAATGAAATACCAGTTCAGTATCTTTCAAAGCCTGTCTTGCACAGGTTGAGCTGTCTAGGATCTGAGTGTTGTCAGTGATTCTGACTTAGGGTGGATGCAGTATTAAACAGTGAAATAAGTTGGGGTGGTGGGGGAGTAGTGTTCTCTGGTCTGGATTCTCAACAGTCTGGGAAAGCTAAAGGTACAATGAATTTGCAGATGGCAATAAATTAGGAGAAGTGGCAAATACCATTAAGGTATGGAAAGTACCACAAAACTAGATCATGTTTGCTTTGTGTTACCCATGTTTGAATGCAGCAATTTCTTGCAACTCTTTTCTTCTTTATGTTGCTGAATTGTGTTGTGATCAAAATCGCTTACACTGGAAAATACTTTCTTAAGGTTAGTATCGTTTCGTGTGATTTTTAAATGCGTGGAGTCAGCAGCATCATTAAACTGGGTAGTTCTGCAGATTTCCAGAAATCATTCCATGAGTCACACTTTAACAACTCCAGAGAAACTATAAACTGATGCTCAGGGATGAAATGAGCCATGGGAGCAGATTAAATCTTGGAAATTAATATACAGACTCACTTCCTACTGCTGTCTGTTGTGGAAGACACTGTTGCACGTAGAGATAACAGTGCAATCAAGAATGAAAGAAGCAGTTTTAGACAATGTGGTGCTGTAGAGCCAGAGTTCCAGGATTAGAAGTAAGCTGTTGGTCCCAATAGACGATGTAAGGCATGACTCTTGGGTGTGTTTGTAGAGTGAACTAAGGTGATGAGTTTTCTTCCACACTTCAGTTCAGTTTGATTCTTAGATCTTGATTTCTGCTGTTCAGTATGGAAGCAGGAGAAAATAGAGTGTGAGGAGAGATTCTGCAGATAGAATCTTGAGAATCACTGCTGAGATTGTTTCTAAGAAATCATGGTCCTGAGAGACAAACTAGAAGCATGTCCCTCCTGGCTATCATGTAGTTTCTGAATGGATATGTGTCTGGTGTTTCCTGCTGTAGAGCAGAGGAGAACCTGGACAAAAGCTAAAGAGAAAAGCATGAACTGGTATTTCAGAACCGTAGAAGTTTCTTAGCTCGGTGTTTAGAAGCATTCCTCTGTGGGGCTGAGGAGAGCTAGGAGAAATTTCACCTCTTCTGCTCGATTAAGTCCCTTACACGTTTGAATGCTTTGTACCAGTTATGGATTTTCAGGCTTTTAAATGGTTGTGAATAAAAATCTGCCTTTTCTGCACAAAGGCGCTCTCTGCTCTTTTTCTTTGCTGCAGCAGTGATGAGCAGCAAAACCTTGAAATGCTTCAATAATAAAGTGTGGGCATTTAACTGCGTGGGTAATTAATCAGTGGCATAATTTACTCACTGGTAGTTAATTGTCCTAAAAGTCTGTAAATTGAGAACAGCTATCTTTGTTCAAGATATGGCCTGGTTCATACAGCATAACCTGTAATCTGCGCTTGGTAAGAGATCAGAATAGCTGGATCACAGTGGCGCCTTTGAGATTGATAAGCTGAGATCAGTCAGTTGCACAGAAGGGAAAGTGTGAGCTTTTTTGCTTGGGACGCTTGTAATTGCACTGAATGAGGCACTATGAAAAGGGAAGTGTTGAATTAGCCCCTGAGGGAGCTGAGTAATATGACCTCATAGGACTTTCCTTTTGTCATGTGCAGCTAGCAGAGTCTAAAGTAGTGGCATAATGAGTTACTTTGGCTGTCAGAGAACTGGGGGACCAATGTGTCCAGAGTTATTAATCAACTGAACAGGCATTGTGAGCGCTAGCAGGTCAGGATTCCAACCTGCCTCGGCTGTGGCATGGAGGGCTGCAGTTGTCTTTGCCGGTTCAGCCCTTAGTCTCTGCTGAGGCCCAGGATAACAGAGCCTAAGGTATAAATTCCCACAGTTTGTGGTCTGCCTGTGTCTATCTGTTGGAACTAAGACCAGACCTCAGCTGAATTTTTTTCGTATCCATTGGAGATAAAAAATTGTTTTGGTCACTGTTAGGATGCAACTGGATTGAGACCTGCGATCCTGTTACAAAATGCCTGGAGAATGGTGTACAGCTCCCAGGAATGAGGGAGAAAAGGAAAACTAGACTCTTGCATAACTGGAAATAATGACTGGCAGGCTTGTCTGATACAGCCCAGTAGTTATTTGGCTACACGGACAGAAATCTTCTTGCGGTAAATGTAGGTTCATGTGAATCGCATGTAGCCAGTCAAGGATGCTGCTTTTCAAAGTGTCTGGAGATAGTAAATGACTCTGCACTTTGGTTGCCATCCATTCACACGAACGTGCTGTACTTAGTGTTTTGTTTAGCAAGTTTATCCAGCCCTTTTAGAGGTGAAGGCTAAACTTGTTTTTCGTTTTCCCCCTTATCCACTTCAAACATCATTAGTCTGAGTAGGCAGTAAATATGTCATCTTGCTTTGGCAGCAATTAGAGGAAACCAAACTGCAAGCTTTGCCTATTAGCCCTAGATTAATTCAATCCAAGTTGTTTTCATCAAACGCTGCAGATTACAGGGGTGGGAATCTGGGTCCAGCCTCGTGGGAGCTGTCCAGTGATTAAAGCAAATCCGTGGTTACAGGCTTGGCTGTCCACTAGCACAAAATGTGAATTTCATGGAACATGACGGCACCATGAGAACTTGCCAGACATATTTTTCTTCTTTGACCGCTCCACATACTTGTTCGCTTCCCTCCACAGCTGCCCCGTAAAGTTGGCTGTACCTGTCTGCTTTCTCCCAGTGGTGAGAGGCATCTGTGTGAGTACTCTGGGAGAGGCACCTGGCCTGTTAACCGCGGGGATCTTCAGAAACGGACAGACCTTCTGCCGAGTGTGCAGCATTTTAACCCAGATGGTGTGAGTGTAATTTGGAGCTGTAGCGGCTGGGACGTAGATGATTTCAGTTAAGAAATGACTGCCACGCAAGGGTGTTGGTCAGTTGGTGACACTGTTGGTCAGAGTTGATAGCAGAGAACAGATTTTTCCTGATTTCTTTTTCCACAGGGAGAAAAAAATAAAGACTATCTCCCTTTGCTTCCCACCTCCCCCCTTTGCATGGAAACACTTGATAACAACCCTGTGACTCCATGAGGCGTGGTGGTAATATGAGAAATCACTTGGACCACACACACCCTTCACAAGAGCCTGTGGCCTACTTAGGCTTTCACGGCTGCAAAGACTGGAACAGCCTCAAACTTGCCATCAGCTCCCTTTTTCCTCTTCTCCGCAGAATAATGCAGCGGGCTAGTAGAGAAGTCTAGAAAGCTTTTCTCTTTCTAGACGCTTAGGGCTGGACCACCCTTCTTCGCTTCGGGAGATGTGGTTGTGTTAAATGGGAAATTGAGCTGTTGGTGATTTGGAGCATGGATGGCTAACGGGAAAAAAGGGGATGGAGTCTCGCTCTGGTTTCCTGAATCCAATCCAGCGCATTTCAGGAGTGGCCTTGGAAAGTCAAGTGCCCTTGGACTGTTTGGCTGGCATCCATCCAGTTTCCACCCATGCAGCTGGCACTAACTGGTCCCCAGGTTGCTGTTCTCTTTGGCAAGGCCGTGTGGTAGCTGGGCTGAGGACACTTCCATTTTAACCATAGATGGCCTCTCAGGAGCTTGCTGCTAGTTGTTCAGCTATGCTTATCTTGTTCTTTGGATACAATGTTACTCTGTATGGTGGTTGATCGGTAATTTTGTATCAGCAAGAAGTTGCCTAGCTTGCCCTGTTTTCAAAGGAGGTGGATTTGGAAATCAGTCGGAGCAGATTCATTGTAGACAAGCGGAGGTAGAAAGGAAACCAGATAAGGGAAGAGGGAAATTGTTGTCATTATGATATTAGTGAGGGTGGGATTGAAAGTGAGGAGGGGGAAGGACAAAAACAAACCACAAAACAAACAAACTTTTTACTGTAACACTTGTATGACAGCATCTGCCAGAATTGGTCATGACCAGAAAGCCACACTGAATTCCAGCAGCCCCCTTCAGACCTGAGCTGGTCTTGTGCAGTGACGGTGGATGCACAGTTCCTAGATAGCTGCGTTTTCTGAATGTTCATTTTATATCCACTTGTGATTGTTTGCTTTTGCAAGGGCAGTAAACGAAACTAGGGAGTACTCCAGGGAGCTCTTAAAAAGAGCAAAGATGGGGAGGGGGTGGTTTGGGAGAAGGGCTGCAAATCTGTGAACAACAGGCAGAGTCAGGGTCACCCAGTGTGAAAAGCAACAAGTACTCTTTGTTCTTGCCTGTTGCCCTAGACAGTGGGGGCGTAAAGTGCTGTCCTACCTGGTCTGAATTCTCATTCTGTCAGGGTGCTCACTGGCAGGTCCCTTCCAGCCTGCAGGCAGCCTCTGCGCGGTCCAGCTACCTCAACTATGAACATGTTTACATCAGCAATGGAGGAGTAAACTCTCAACCAGCAATATGTCTATGAACAGATGGGGGGAGAAAAACAAGCGCAGTGTCCAGAGGCCCTTTGGGCCAAGTCAGGCTGACATCAGCGTGTCAAGAAGACCTGCTTACACTTTCTCAAGGGGTATATTTGCAGTGGTGCTGTGTATGGAAATGGAGAGCACTTATCTAAATACTGGGCTGTTGTACTGTGTATGGTAATGGGACGCTCGTGCAACAGCTGCTGCTGCTGTGTTTAAAAATTTGTCATCCAGTTCTGTGATACTATCTGATCCTAGAGATCCCTTTAATTCTGTTTGTATTAAGAGTGCTTTATATTTCTAGAGCTCTTAATTGGAAAGGTCAACAGCACTGTAATCTAAACGATTCTTGAATTGCAGGTGAACCCTCGGCATGCTCTGAGTGCTCCTTCCATCCAGCACGGCTGTAGCAGCCTCACCTCATACGTGCACAGTCAAGGGACTGAAGGCAGCAATTTAGCCTATTAGGTCTTTCTCATCAGCACATGTTCTTTTCTCACAAAAAGCTTCTTCGTGCAAGATCTTGGACCATTTCCCTCCTCTCCACCCCTCCAGAGAGACATGAGGGAAGTTCCACCATGGGAAACTGGATAAAGGTTTGAATAGACAGAACAATCCTGCTCTGAGGGAACAAGGAGGGGGCCAGAGGTGATCTAACATATCTGTGACCTTTAGGATAGCAGCTGTGATGGCAGTTCAAGTTGTGTAAACACTGTCCATCTGTAGGTCTTGTGTAACTGTGCCTGAGTACCTAGGACACATTATCTTAGCTAGAATCTTGGAGCAAGCGACAATGAAGTAGCAGAGATTGCAGCTGACTTCATATGTTTACACTAGTGAAGTCAGGGGAAGACTCAGACCATCTGAGTGACCTTACTGAGCTAAGCTGGCAGGCAGAGTGACAGTAAGCAAAAGCCACTTGTTGTCAAGCTGCAGCCAAAACGCATAGGAAGGAGTCATAGTTTTGTTTTGCTCGGAGTTCTGTACACAGCGCAAGGGTCAGCACAACACCTAAGAATCACAGCAGTTAAAGTAGTTGTAGCACTGATGGTTTTCCCCTTCTCTTGCTCTCTCAGGATGTCTTGCTGCTGAGTCAGTTTATCCGGTCTGATGGAGGGCTGCTGCCACGAAGGATCACAGGCCTCTGTCTGGAGGAGCACAAGAAGATTGCTGTCTGCGTGCAGATGGCTCACCGTGCAGGTACCTAGCCTCCTCTTGAGACAACCCCTTACTGTGGGGTACCCATCAAACTCCTTGAGAGGGGTCTCCCACCAAACTAGTATAGCACAATGTCTGTCCATTCACCCAGCAAACTCGTTATGTTCCATGTGGTGGGACAGGATGATGGACCAGAGACTACTTGTTCTGCTTTCTGTGTGTCTTGTCTCCTGCCTCAGCAGCAGACATTTATCCCTGTAGATGACTCTGTTGTTACAGAAAGTTCTGGGAAGCGGCTCAGTCTCTAGTAACTGATAATTAAATACTAGCTTCTGAAATCACTTCATTTAGCGTAAGCTTGACCTGCCCTGTTAGTAACGTGCACCTGTTTATCAACTGCCATGTAAAGACTTTTTTGCTTTACCCTGAAAGGTGGGACCCAGGTTGACACAGTCAGAGTACTGTGGGGATCTTTATGCCTGGTACCTGAGTTGTATCCCAGTTAAATGGACTGAGAATTGTCAGATTTTCTTCCTGGAGATGGAATCTGGTTGGACACCAGTGCAAGATATCCTCTCAAAAAGCCTCATTGATGAGCCCCATTGCCTGTGTCTTTGGTGTGTATTTTCTCTATATACCCAGCAGAACCTGCTAGCTTCTCTTTGGCTGCAGTGCAGGTTCAGCAATGACTAAAGACAAAATACCCTTTCTACTGTTCCTGGAGTTTTTCCTGTGTTGTCCCAGTGGGGACCTGGGATGCCTGGTTTAGGAGTATTGTAACTTCTGGATGCTAGAGAGGCAAGGAGACACTACGAAATATTCTTAGGCCTTTCTATTTCTGTTTCAGGTTTGTTGCCAAACCACAGGCCTGCACTTCCTGAAGGGCATATTCCCAAGAAACCCAAGTTCAACAGGTAAATAGTCTTGTCTTTCCACATCTCTCTTTCAGGAATAGATTGGAAAAGGAAAAGCAGTTCCTTATAACGAAGTAAAACATGCCTCAGGCAACAGAGCTCATAAAGAGTGCTCATAGCATTTTGGAGAAGGAAGGTCTGTCACAATATTCTCTCGTCAGGCTTTTTAGGACAAACCGCATCTCATTCCAGCCATTTATCCACACAGGATTAAAACTGCCACACATATTAGAATCTGCCCTCCCTTCCTCAGCTGTACTCATCTCCTCATCACTAACACTCAGTAGGGCAGTCACAGGAAGATGCCACAGAGATGGAGTCACAGCATGACAAGAGTAATTGAGGTTGGAAGGAGGCTCTGGAGATTGTCTCCTCCAAGCCCCCTGGGTCACACAGAGCAGGTTACCCAGGACTATGTCCAGTCAGGTTTTGAATATCTCCAAGGATGGACCTTACACAGTTTCTCTGGGCAGCTTGTTCCAGAGAACCACCCTCATAGTGAGAAGTGTTTTATTATCTTCAGACAGAATGTTTTTTGTGTTTCAATTTGTGCCTATTTCCTCTTGTCCTGTCACTGGACACCACTGGGAAGAGCCTGGCTCCATTGCATCATCTTTACATCCTCCCTTCAGGCATACATGAACATTGGTAAGACCCCCCTGAGCCTTCTTTTGTCCAGGCAAAATGGGGCTTTTGAGCAGCCCCTTCTCTCTGTCTTTCAGTACCTGGCCCCCAACAACAGGAGGGTGCCCAGGAAGGGTACCAGCAGTGAGTGGGGAACTGAGCAGCCAGCAAGGGCCCATCACAAGCCTGTTCTACTTTGCCCCATCCCTGTTTTCTCCCAGTCAACAATTTGCCCCTCTGCCTGCCCTTCCTGTGCAAGAGGGTCTCTTCCCCCTCCCTGGCCTGAACGGCCCCTGGCCTTTGGTGGGTGAAGGGAAAGCTTGCAGCCGCTGTGCTGGGCGCTGGAGGTGCTAATCCCCTGTTTATGACCTCACACTCTGTTTCCATGGGGATGTCAGAGCGGTTTATGAACCTCGCATTAGCAAGCCGTGGGGTTACCAGAGGCCATGGGGCTGTTGCTGGGAGAGCTTAGGCTGCAGGGCTGGGGGCAACTGGAGACTCCTGCATTTCAGGTCTGACTCTCTACAGTGGAGATTTGAGGCAAGCTCTTGGAAATGTCCCTTGGATTCTGGCAGGCTGTGCACTGGGTATCAGTGAGGATCAAATTAGAGGACTGATTTGATGCAGCCCTGTAGCCATCAGATATTTAACTCTGAAAACTACTTCTTTCCTGTGTCTTACACGTCTCTCTGATTCTTTAGTAGCTGTCTCTACCTAGCAGCTGTGGGGTGGAGCACTTCATATAGTTAGCATTCACACAGCAACCCTGCATAGCAGGTTGAGGCAGGAAATGATAAATCTTGTATCTTGCTGGAATCACACCAGGACTCCAGATCTAATGCCCTGACTGATAAATGGTTCCATACACTTTTAGTGAGAACAAAGAACGGATACCTCCGGATACGTTCTACATACAACTAGGTGTGCTACACCTCTAAAACTGAGATTTAGATTGGAGATTAGTATCCAAGCCCTCCCTATTGCATTGTTAGTCCCTCCCTACAGCACCCTTGGTTTTTATCCTCCCAGCAAGGCAATGTAGAAAGCAGGGTGGAAGCAGAGCTGTTACTGAGGAGATTGAACAGCACTGAAATAGGCAGGCTTTGTCTGGGTGGAAACAGAGAATAGGATCAAGAAATTGGATTGACAGTTCTGGTGGTGGGGCTGGAACTAAACAAATGAGTCCCAGAGCCAGAGTGCAGGGGTGCTCTGGGAGAGTGCTCTCCTGGTCCCTCACGATACTGTCTTTGCAGCCTGCTGGAAGGGGAAAGCTCTGTGTGTTGAAACCTTGTGAAATCTTGGGCATTGCTGCTCTGTGGGAGTTATGGCTGTGCACACCCCCACCTGCGCTTCCCATGTTGCTCTCCAGAACAGTAGCTGGCACCACATAAGGCAGGAGATAGAAGTTGCTTCCCTGGTCTAGTGGGAGGTGTCCCTGCCCATGGCAGGGGTTTGGAACTAGATGATCTTTAAGGTCCCTTCCAACCCAAACCAGTCTGTGATTCTATGATTCCTCTAGCCTGAAGGGAGGACTGGAACTGAAGGGTACCCACATGCTGAAGATATTCAACCAGTATTTATTTTGGGAATGAAGCCAGAGCTTTTATCAAAAGTTTCCTACATCAATGACTTCTCCAAGCTTACCTTGTCTTTCTTGTACTTGTTTCTGAAGCCTTCTGTAAGTCTGTAGTAATTTGGGAAGCGCTCAACCGGCAGTGTTGCCAAAATGCAGGTGAGCTGGCAGGGGAGGACGGAATTGTGCTGGGACTTTTGAGTTGAACAAGCTGCCTTGTTCAGTGCCATGAGAGCATGACTGGGTCATCCTCTAATCCTGACTGGTGTAATATCAGGGCTTCACGCCTAACTTAGCCTGTTGTGTCACTTAATTTGTGTCTGCTGGGATTTTAAGTGTCAGTCCATGAAGGGATGGACAGAATGTACAGAGAGCCTATCATAGCAGGCAGTACATTGCACAGTTAAGTGATGTATTTTCCAAATCCTTGAGCTTCAGCTCTACTTGAGATCACTGTATTGACTGCTCTAGTCATCTTCACCTCCCTGCTTACGTGAGAGCTAACAGCGCCTTTCTGCACTGCTGCTGTAGCCCTGGGAATGCCAATGAGGAGAAACTGAGGTGCGGAAAAATGGAGATGGAGACAAAATTGCATCAGGGCTGCAAACTGAGATGAATCATTCTCACAGGTGGCTCGTAATATCCAGCATACTCTGCTGTCTCTCCCCCTTGCTTGTTTGCACTTACTCTTGCATTCTGCATGGCAGAAAGCCTTGCATACAGAAGACAGTTCCTGCTATACTGTTCTAAAATAGGAAGGTGCAAGGTGGAAAGAATAGACAGAGCACCATGGAGGCATATAGTCTGTCGCAAGACTCTGACAATAAGCTTTGCCCTGCTGAAGGACAGTATTTCTTTGACTCTAATCTGTACTTCTGTGTGTTCACCCTTTCTGCCCTGAAATTCCTCTCATTGTCCCCCTGTAAGCAATCTGTTGTCTAACTCTTCACTCTGCATAGAGAAATCTTTCACTTTTATTTAAAGGGGGGACTTGTGAGAAGTCACTGTCTACTCCAGATATTACCCCACATACTCCTATGAGAATTCCTACCATATGGGGACAGAAAACCTTACACTGAGCTGAAGGATGTTTTACTGACAGTAGAGCTCTTGATGTTAGACTACACCATCAGCTGCTAGAGTGACAGGACCAAGATGAAAGCCTAAGATAACACTGCGGACTGTTTCCACTTGCACCACCTGAGACTGAAGGAGGTTTATTGTGGGGAGCGTAATTTGAAGTGGGAGTCAGAGCCCAGCACCTCTACCCTCATTACAGACCTGTGCATTCACGTGCTGTGTGTAGACTCTGTAGATCTTCTCTAGACTCAAAGCTGCAAGCCCTGCCTGGCTGAAGTCTGGCAGATTACTTCATTTGGATGAGCAATCCCTTTCATTTCTCTCCAGTCGTGCAAAGTTGTGGTTGATGCTCTCTTTGGCCAGGTTTCTTCCAAGGTTGTGTCAGTATTTTTGAGAGCAGCTTCATCTGCTGCCCAAAGAGAGACAAACCAGCCTGATGAACAACTGCTTTCTCTACTCTTTGCCCCTGAAACAATGTACAGGCCAGCTGCATAGGAGGAGCCCTGTGGCTCCTGGGCAGAGGTGCTACGGAAGTACACAAAAATGGGCTGAGGGGCTGTCTTAATGTATCTCTTGAGACCACCAGAAAAGCTGTTCCTCAGCTTTTCCTTGGCTGAACTTGTGGCATTTTTGGCCAGAATGTTTGGCCCATGTCATGGTCACCCTATTTAAAGTGAGCCTGCTTCAAATACAGAGTGTCTGGCGTGCACTGGCTGTCACCTGGCTGAGATTAAAATGTAACGTGCCACCGTATGGAACTGTCAGCAAACTGCCTTGTTCTAACAAGGGTTGGGGTGCTTCCCTGCTATTGATCTAGTGATGTGAAGTGTGGATTTATCACCCAGAACACCTCTGCAGGCTCTGCCCTCCAGAAGGTGCTCTTCTGGTGCTTACTCAGTGATGTTTTCCAAGAAGCAGAATCCACACTCTATTTTCTGAAGCAGTTTTGTTGTGTCTCCATTGTATGGACTTTGGATATTCCCTCCTACATGCCCCAGGTTACTCTCTGGAGAGGTAAGAATTTCCTTGCTTTGAACTGGCTCAGTTGGCAGCTAGCCTCACCCTAACCACTCCATTTCCTGATCCTGTTTCTACTACTGGAATGCATGAGGAAGAGCAGAATGTTTTGGGAAGTAGTGGCTTGCAGATCCCACTTTGTTCTTGGTTACCTAACTGTCTAGCACCGTATGGGATCACTGATCTAGGCTGTAATGTGACATAGAGGAGGAGATTGGAACTGCGCAAGAAGGTACAACATGAAAGTGAAATGCCAGCTTGAGCCAAGCTGTGTGGTCGTGGGAGTGGTAGGAGACGTATGAGAACACCCTGTGGTCAGAATTCACCTGGAGAGCTCTCCACAGTGCTCTCTTCTACCCCCTTCAGCCGGGACACTGTCCAGGTGAGACTTACCATGGTATTTCTCATTTCTTGGACTTCATTTTTTTGCCTTTTTGATTTCTGCCTGATTTGGTTTTGACAGCAATAGCTCATGAATGTTATCACTTAACAGCTTCACTAGCTGTGGGTGCTTTTGAAGAAATATGGCTGTTGGAGTATCCACATCGTCCATAAACACTTGAGTCTGCTGTCCTCCCCCTCTCTTCCATATCTTTTTGTCTGCAGAACTTGGACATGGAAAACCATTGAAGTTTACCCCCGTCAATGCAGAATTACTCCCTACAGTTCATTTTCTCAAGTTTGGCCCAGTCTAGGGCTTTCGCTGTTTCCAAGGGATGATTCCACAAGCAAATTTGTCTTGCAGCCAAGGATTGTTCCCTCATCTTCAGCCTGAATTCTCCCTTTCATAACTTCCTGCTGTTATTTCTGTGTCCATTTGTGCTCCAGCCTGGCATGTTCCAGATAAGCGCTGCAGAAACAAAATATTTTCACTAGCCCGTGAGGCTGAGGAAGTTCTCAGGGGTTTCACCAGCACCACACAGAGTGACAGGCTGTTCTCATATTCCAGAGTCATCTGTGTAAGGCCACCACACACCAGAACCATCTGGGAAACAGTCAAGTACAGCTGCAGGTCAAACTTCTATCCTTGCTTTCAGGAATGGAAACCTGAACAGCTCAGCACTTTTCTTTCCAGCATGGAAGTTGTCGCATGGATAATGTGGACTAACGCTCTATCCAGAACAGTCACTAAGTTCAGGCCAGCATCTGGATGCTCTCGTAATGTGGATTTAGCACTTGTTTTCTTCTGGCAGGTCCAAAATATTGGTTAAAGCACAACACTCTGAAGTTGCTCCCCTTCCAAAAGGACTAAGGGATGTCACAGGTTCCATGAGTCTGGGCTCTGTCAGCAAGAGGTGCTGTAGATTATTTGCACTTGATTTTGAGTGCTCAGCTTCTCAGCATCTTCAGCTTCCTACTGGAAGAACAGAACTTGGCACAGATAATATCCAAGTCAATCCCTCCTCCATTACCTGAACAGAAGTTGCTATGTGTTAGGAAAGAGGCAGGTTCCATATGAACTCCTTATGAATTACAAAGTTCTGAAGCTCTGTGGACACCTCTCATCCTTGGGAGCAGAATCTGGTTTCGTTGCGATCCGTTTCACTCCGGCAGCATGTGGTTTCTCTCATCTGCATGGAAACTGTGCTGTGCATAGCATGTGAATTCAAAAGCAAAGAGCCAGAGCGGCTGCAGGTGAGCAAAGCCAAGAGGTGTCATGGGAAGGGATGTGGCAGGGAGGAGGCAGTCTTGCCAGCACTTTGATCGAGTGCTTCCTGCAGTCTGTAGCCCTCTGCCTTCTGCTCTTAATCCAAACAAAAGCCAGATTGAAAAAGTTCAGTGAGGGTTCAGAAGTTCAGCCTTGAACTGCACCAACGTCACCTTTGCTTGGGCTGCATGCAGGACTGCAGTTGCCCCATGAGTAGGTTATTTCCTTTACCCAGCACATGGAAGCCCTGTGCCTACTCCTAGGTGTTAAGCAGCAGGTCCTGAGTAGGAAGGCTTTGGGGCCCTCCCGTTCACAGAATAAAATCCATGGAAATGGACTTTCATGTGCCACAGAGATTTTAAGTACTTGCAGTGAATGCAGGTGACTAACCACACTTGTTTCCATCCTGTTCATATCTCACCTTTTCCCATCAGGGAAATCCCACCGGGATTCTCATCACGCTTTATGCAAACTACTCATCTGTGCGGCTGAAGTCGAGGGATTCTGGTTATTGCCCAGGATCCTACTGTACTGAAGGGGGCAAGCAGAGCCCCATGGTGGGTTGCCAGCCGGTGAGATTGGCAGTTCTGTCCCCCTTTGTCCAGAGTGAGAGCACTGCAGCCTGAGATAACAGGTTAGGAGATTGCGGACCAGCTGCATTTGGCATCCATGTGGAGGCTCTGTCCCAACAGCCCTCAGCTGGTCAAGAAAATTCAGACCATCTGCCAGTGTGTGTTTGTAGCTTACTGTAAAAACTCCCCAGGACAAACTGCGTGGTTGGATGTGATGGGAAATAGGGTGACTTGGCTAGAAAAAGGGGTACACTACCTTACATGGCCAGCAGAGTTTGCAGAAGAGTCCTGCGTGCTGGGCTTTGGAGCTCTCGTGAGTTTTGTGGATTGTTTTTACTCTGAAGAAAAGAAAAAAATCTGTGAAACAGTAGGAACTGGGGTTAGTCAGAGAGGAAAAGGAACTTTGTAGACTGACTGCTCCCAGACATCAGGCTTTTGCCACTGCTGAATCAAGGTAAAAAAAAAAAAAACAAAACCCTCCAAAAAATTAAATAAAAAGAGGCAGCAAACAAAATAGGACAAGTTTGAGTTTGGGACAAAGCAAGTATTAAAAGCGCTAAAAGCAAATGTGCTCCAGGAAGGGAAAGCGTCCAAATGTCTGTTTCAGCTAACAATGAAAAGCCCCAGCCTGCAGTCCCCAAAGGAAGCCAAAAGCCTGGACCAGAGGGCTGGATTAGACCTGCTCAAAAGAGAAATAACAAAAGCTTTAAAATCAGGCCATTACTAAATCCTCCTTCCTATGCAGAATTGGGGTGTGCACTTCCAGCCCCCACACAGAAACACAGGGATTTCTTAAAAAGCCACTGTCTGTCTAAACCTGCACACAGCATTGATGTGTATCTCACATTCACACGTTCACTTCTCTCCCAGTGAGATCATTTATTATCATGGGAGCCCTTTCCCGTAAGCGTGCGGACACGTGACCAGAACTGCACTTGGCACGCTGATGCTTTGAAACAATTTGGGATTTTTGTCTTCCTTTGCTCTCAGTGCAGCCTTGTGATATCAAAACTTGTGCTACAGACCTCCCCCTGCAGCGAGGGGAACGTGAAAAGAAGGACCCAGCCCCACGTGCCCATCAAATACCCCTACGGCTTCTCCCAGAGCAGCTGCCTTGCCAGAGTCCAAACGGGATCTGCGTTTGGACTCCCTTTGCATGTGAAATTAGAGACCCGAGAGTCTCTCCTACTTCCTGTCTTGAAGTTCTTATGTAAGGGATTCCACTAATGCACTGGCATAACATTAAAGGTCAAAAGGGACTAATTCAATGCACGCATAGGAGAACAAGTGGCTGGATCTTGCTCTATGCTGTCTCCCAAATCCCTCCTGCTGTTTCTTCTAGGTGTTTTAACTACCGTAAACCCCTCAAAGCAAAAGCAAAGCATTTGGGAAGCAGCTTCAGTTCAGTGGCAGGAACCTCCAAATGCAATTTATTTCTCAATTTGTGCTGTTCAGGATTGCTGAGGAAGAAAAGTGCCAGGAAAACAGGCTGCTGCTGTGCAGTCCGTAGCTGCCTGGCATAGCAAGCTTTCTTTGTAGTTGTCAGGAATGTGCCAAATACCTTCAAACAAATGCATTATGCAGTCTCTGTCCAAAGTTCTTAATATCTCAAATTTGCAGGATGCAAATAAAAGGTAACAAAGTTGTTTGAGGAGAGGATGACTGATTGAGGTTACATTAAGACCATGGGATTACTCAATGGAGGCATGCAAACATCGCTGGACAAAGTTTATCAGCCTGTTCCAAATTCTAATTTGTCGGAGCATTGTTTGTGCAGATTATGCTAGGGTTTTACTTTGGATCTTTATTGTCTGCAAAGACTCCTCTTTCTCTAAGGACCTCTATTCCCCTCTCTACTGGTAGCAAAAGATTTAAAGCCTAACAAAACTCCAGGCCACCCAGCCACAGGCTAAGATTTCCAGTAACTGATTCTGGATCTGAAATCCCCGGCCCGTTTGCAAAGCCAAGTCTAAAACTTCAAATGGTAAAAAGCCGAGGATGTTTGCCAGACGTTGCTTTTCATGGAGACTTGTAGTTGTGATGATAATTCCATTCTAGCACCTCTTACGTTGTAGGTTCTGACTTCCTGTACCAGCAAGCTGCAGTAGTATTGAACAGAGAATACTAAAGCAAATTTGGACATAGGGAAATAAAAGACTAGGCCAGAAGCCCATCCCATGCAGAATAATTAACTGTTTATCCTCTGAAAGTAAACTAATTCCTTTTTAGAGACTATTTCTCACAGTGTTCAGCCTTTGTAATTAGTTTACCTTATTGAGGCCAGCTGTTGAAATAACACCTCCCAGAGAAGCCGGATGCATTCCGTCTTGGGCTTAGTTGCAAGGAAAGGGATGTGGCACTCCAGTTTAGCTACAGGTGGACAACTTGCCAGCAGCCTGGAGACTACACCTGATTTGTTTTGTGAGCCTGGAAGTCAGGCAGGTGCCAGTGAGTTCAATGCAGAGGTGCAGCTGAGAAGTTCCAAACAAAAGTTCCTTTCCAGTGGTCCCTTCTGAACTGAGGGAGCATTACTCCCGGTGATTCCTTTTAGGAGGAGGCATGTCGGGAGGCAAAGTACTTGCTCCTGTTTGTCAGAACCTTTTTTCAATAATTGGTCTCAAACTGAAATGCATTTGTGTTGTTTTGACAGGTATCTGACCCGCTGGTCCGTCAGATCTGCAAAGCCCATCTGGACGAGGGGCCCTAAGTGGTGCAAAAAAACCATGCCAGTCGGACACCCTTTGCTGAGGGATAATGTCAAATATACACACAAGCCTCTCTGTTTAAACCACTAGTGGCCAGAACTGCCGTACTCAGTAAGCACAGCTGGTTTTCACTGTTCTTTTTTTTTTGCAAGTTTGTCAGTATCTCCAATTTTCTTATCCCAAAACTGTCCTTAGTACTCTGTATTGTCTGCTGTGAGAACTGCAATCTGCTTCTCTAGGAGAATACAAGGTTCAGCAAAGCAATGTTCAGTATGCAGAATTATTTGGAGAGAGCAGGGGGCAAAGATTTTTACTTCAAAGCCAGAAAGGATCTGAAGGCTTTTGTCTTGTTACAGTCCACAATGTGGTTTGGAAAAAGATGTTTCCTTTATTTTTTCCAGCAATGAATGGTGATTCCTCATTTATATGTGTTTCAACTCAGATTTGCCCTGTTTGGGCTTTTGTACCTGTGATACTGATGGAAAAAGAAGTCTCCTGCAGCACTATGTTTCCTTGGCAGTAACAGAAATTCTTAATGATTGCTGAAATGATTTTTTTAATAACCTGTACTTTCCATAATTTGCAGCAGAATGGCAGTGGCAGATGGGGGTGGGTGTGTTTTACGTGTCCCTTTAAGGACTCCTGGCTTGTGCTTCACTCCTGGACCTAGCAAATACAGAATGTTGACATCCTTGATGACTTGGCCTGGGTTTTTTCCCCTTACAAATACATTTGACACAAGTCTTCCATATCAGTGATGTGGCTGCTTCCTGGGATAGTTTGGGGCTGATAGATGTGCATAATTTCCCATCCTGTAACTAAAAGACGGCACCGTTTCTCTCCATGTACGGTACATGTATGCACCTTCCACCTACTGACCACTGCTACTGGAGAAGTGCCACTTACGGGCCTGGATTTGAAAAGCTTATTACATTTATCAGGGTCATTGTTGCTTTGATATTTATATGGGGGCTACAAATCAACACAGCTTTTTTTATGTACTACTGTGCCACTTAACCTTGTACCTGCTTTCATCAGAATCATCTGCTAATACCTATTGGCATGGACAGGAACAAAGGGTAAGAATAAACCCATATTACCCAGGAAATCACATTACATTATGATGGTTGTTTTTAGCCTTACTCTGTGAAATGGAAGCCCTACATTCAGCCCCTTGAGCTGGCCAAGATCTTTCTGCTTTGGGAGACAGAGCCAAGACTTCATTAACTACCGAGATAAAATCTCTGGCTGACCGTCTCTATTTTATGAAGCTTTGAAACCTACAGCCCTTCAGAAAGGAAAATACTTACTTTCTTCTGCATACAGAAGTGCACTGATTTCTTTTGCTATGTCTTCAAGCCGAGGTAGCTCTGCTTCGTGAGTTTTACTAACAGAAAACTCGCTGGATTAAACCATTGCCTTGAGATGAACCAGAATGAGCACATTTTGCAACAGAACATGTGACACACACAGTTAATTTTTTTCCACAGTCAGTGCCATGAGCTGATTTTGGTGAAACCTAACATCTGAAAAACAAAATACTCTCTTCTATATGCCTTTCTGGAGTTTAGGGTTTAGTAGAGATCCCTTACAGCATGCATCAGCTTTCTACTCTGACTCCAAGGCCAACACTCTATTTTTGTTTGTCATTCATGGGTGACAGCAGCACTCATCCGTGTTGTCTCCAAGTGAGTTTTTGTGTAAGCATGGTGTCTCTGTGATCAGACAGATTGCCTAGGTTTGATTTCTGACCTAGGGCTTCGCCCATCATGGAAGAAAATGCCTTTTGTTACTATCTAAGGGGTCTGCCTTGACACATTACAGGGAATTCAGTCTGGAGATGAGGGAGGATTGCACACGGTGAAGTCCTAGGAAAAAGAATTGGGGCCAGAGTAGAGGCGCAAATGAATCCTGCTCAAAGTGCAGAGGTTTCACACTTTTATTAGAACAAGCAGTAAGCAACAATCTCCTAAATATAAAATCTAAGTGTTCTCCAGTTCTTGTCCCAGACAGGAGAGTCACAGCATGAAGGGCAGATCTAAGTTCTTCTCGCCAGTGCCAAAGTAGACGTAGCCGTATTGCTTGGTCTTTGGGACGTGGTAGAATGTCAGACCCAGCCACAGCAGGCTCCGCAGCACCACCACAGCGCCTCCCTTCTCTAGCTGGACAGTCCAGGAGCCTGTGCGAGAACATGGGCTTGTGAGTCACTGCAAAGAAGAAAGAGGCAGCACTCCTGGAGCAAGCTGTCCCGGAGCTGGGAGAGGGACAGGGGTGGGTTGTTAACAGCACACAAGGCTGCACTGGAGTTTGTGCCACCTGAAAGGAGGGGAGTCAGGGAGACCAGAAGCCTCGATGCCCTTTCTTCTCTTGACAGTTCAGCATCACAGGCTGCCTTCGTTTCCAGATGCCTGCGCCTAGTTTCACACAGGAGCGTATTCCCATGGCTATGATGGTAATGTCATATGCTCACAGGAAGGGAGCTCCAGGCTTGTATACATGATCCCAAGGGGAGGCTACAGCTATTCTTGGCTGCTTCCGAGTGGGTAGCAGTTCCTCTAACAAGCTCTGCCACCTACTTGGTCTAGCTAATAGCTACAGAGAGCCAAAACTAGCTATAGCAATCCTGCATAGGTATGAAATTTCTTCTTAAAATAAACTTGTAGCAGTAGTACTGGGAAGAAGAAAGTGCTTTCCTGCCTCAGGTAACACTGGTTTCCCTGATGCAGTGACTGAGAAAGAGGAAGAAGAGAAAGTGTGAAAAAGCAGGGTATTTCCTATCTCAGAGAAATTTACAGAAACGTTAATTCTCTTCAGTCTTTCTTGGCTCCACCATTGAAGATTATGTGCGTGGTAGGGGCAAAGGGATTAGTTTCTGCATTAATTTTGCTTTGGCTCTGTAGAGGAGGTTCAGAGCCAGTGTGAAAATGCAATTTCTCCTGGATGCAAGGAGCTCTGAGCCACTGAGTATTTGTTTTGCGTCTGACAGGACAGCCTGGGAACAATGCCGGAGGGAAGGGGGCTGGAGCATCATCTTGGATTCAATGCCAGAGGGCGAGGGGCTGCCAGGAGAAGAAAATACCAGCTTCAGCACCAAATCAGTAGTGCCTAGAGGCTACAGTGTAAGGAAGAAGGTTCCTGCAGAATGTCCCATCTAAAAGCAAAAGCAGCATGTCCAAATAAAAGAAAATGCAGTTGGAGTCAGGCTACTGCTGGCCTGAAGTCAAGCGGTCACAGCCTATCTGCGCCCAAAGCCAAAATCTGCCAGTTCCAGAGTAAGCAGAAAGTCCACGGTGCGTTGGGCCAGTTAGACGGTATTCATCCTTGTAGATAATCTTAGGCTCATCAATTTATGCTCTGACTCATGCTTACTCATGTCATAGTTAGCCTGGGGAAGGGCTTCTGTGATTGCTGTCAGCTGCCAGTCCTCCCCCTCCCACTAACTTCTGACTCTTGGCCAATTTTAGTCACATCCGACAAAGGGCTGAAGGGTTTTTAACACCGCAAGTTCCTACAGCAGGTCTCCACAGGACATGGCCCAGGGGTTGGCCGCAGTTCCTGAAGCTATTTGTTTGGTCTGCGCGTGGCTGCGGGGAAGCGCAGCCTTGCCTGGCTGCCAAGAGGCAGCAGCTAGCTGGGCAGCCGGTGTTTGCCCAGTTTTGGGCTCCTGCTCGCAATACACGTGGTCTCATGCAAACTGCAGTAGTTGGGGGAAATGTATACGTGGTGGATGCAGAATCAGAAAGGAACAACACGGTTCAGAACCCTGCAAAACCTGGTGTCATGAGTTGTGCTGCTCACCTGTTACCCACCACTTCTCTTTGTATTTCTGTACTTTTGAACTGGGCACTATTGTTTCCCCTGTCTCCTTCAGTAGCAAGCTCCACAGGTTTGTTATAATATGCACCACATAAGTCCTGTGTCATCTTTGATCTGCTCCCTTTCAAAGTACTCTCTTCGCTGATGTGCAAACATGGAACTAACCTACCAGCAGTAATGTCTACCTTCCGTGACAGGCACTGCACTGTCTGACAAACCCACTCTGGCTGCAGGAGGAGACATTCACAGTCTTTAAAGACTCTGGAGATCGCTGCTACTTCTGACTCACTCAGTTCCATGTTTCCACTAAAGACAAACAGCTGGAATCACGGTAAATCAAAGCACTACTTAATATAGGGCAGGATCAGTACAGGGGTGTGCCAGCTTTTCACCTTCCTTGCACTGTGACATTCTTTGCACAGCCCTAGTTAAAGCATGAGCTAGTGTCTTCACAAGCAGTGGTTGCGCATACAAGGCAACCCCACTGTCCCGTGCAGCCTCTCCAGTGCCACTCCTACGGGGACAAACTGGACTGGATCTCTGCCGTACCTGGAGTAAAAACACGTGTTACACTTCAGCCACTGGGATTACAAATTCCAACTGTCTCCCATAAAATCTGCATGTTCTTAAGGAACTTCGCTGCTTGTGTAGCGTGGAAACCCGGCTGAAGAACACTTCACTACAAGGCAGATCATCCAGTGGCTGAAGCACTACAGCCATCTGCTGTCAAAGGACAAGCTTTCAAACAGTTTCTTGAATTTTGCCTCTACAAGTTTTCAGCATTTGCTAGTGGCAGTAGCTCAACCGTGCGTAGGGGTGTCCAGCAACAAGTGGCAAGCAACTAGGTGTGAATGTAATTGTGACAACTTTTTCCTTGACTTTGCTTTCAGTGCGGGTTTCGTGCAGCTTGAACTTGCAGAAATTATCTACAAGCCCTTCATCCAAATACTGGTGGTTCTTGCTCTAGCTTTACATATTGGTTTGCAGGGGGGACTGTGAACTTTTGGAAGAGTTTCTCTGACAAAAAGATTGGAACGAGGAACTCTCCTTGTCTTTGATTTAGGACCAGTCCTCTGAGAAGCAAGTCTGTCAAGAATAGGACTGTGCCATGCCTTGCTGGGTAATGAAAGCCTTTAGGGATTATCTAGTTTGCTAATGTCTCCCAACGTACTGGAAGCATCCAGCAGCCTGGGTACGTGTGATAGCTTGTATACATATGTTCGTGTACACAGATGAACCCTCTGCCCCAAACTATTTACAAAGAACAAAAAGAAATGCCTGGAGCATGACAAGTGGGAAAGATGAGAGGAAAACCAGGGATATTAATGCTCTCAGGAACTGTATCTGGATTCAGACTTCTTTTTCTTCGATAAATTCACAGAGACGGTAGAGTAAATCAAGTTCAATTTGATTAAATCCCCATATCTATGCTCTGGGGCAATGCAGTGCATGGATCCCTGATCTCCTCAGAACATTTACCCAGGGTCCAACAGGCTTATGAATCTCTGTGGAGTACTCATCAGCGGTTAACTGCTGATCAAAGGAACTGCCATGCACCTTCACACCTGGCAGCAACGGACAGATGTAATTGAAGACAGCTCCATTCACTTTTATGCTAGATCTCTGAAGGCTCTGAAGTGCAGCTGCTTCATTTCCCTACCGTCTGTCCAAGCTGCAAACCTGCAAAGGGCTCATGAAATTTGTCATTTCATAAATGTGAGACCTTTGGGGAATATTAAGTTGTTATACTTTCCAGCTCTTCTCTGATCCTTGATTCTGCGTCTAGTTCTATGCAAAAATGGACAATAAAGTCTTGCTGATGCTGCATAAGTCTTCCTGTGAAAAGAGGACCTGAACAAAACAAGCAGGTACTTATGGGCATTCCCAACTGGACCAACGCAACATAGGTTGAGGACAGAAAAAGTTATAAGGAACTGCCTGAATCTGTCATGTCATTTTCACTCGGATCCTGTTTTCAGCCAGAATGATGGTTAGTCACAGAGCTGCTCTTTACTCTGCAGACTGCATAAGTCTTCCTGTGAAAAGAGGACCTGAACAAAACAAGCAGGTACTTATGGGCATTCCCAACTGGACCAACGCAACATAGGTTGAGGACAGAAAAAGTTATAAGGAACTGCCTGAATCTGTCATGTCATTTTCACTCGGATCCTGTTTTCAGCCAGAATGATGGTTAGTCACAGAGCTGCTCTTTATTCTGCAGAGCCAAACAGCAGCAGTAGTGCCACCTTCCACCTTTTACTAACCAGATCACTAGGGACATTTTTCTAACCCAGCTATCAGAAGTGATTTACTCGGTACACCTTTCCAGATGGGAATGGAACTGCATTTTCCAATGCAGTTTCAAAAATCCATTCAGAACTGCATTGGATACACAATGCTGGTGTCTGCCTTCTAAGAAGGCATCACACTGAAGTTCTGCAACCTGTCTGCTTATTTTGGTCCTTGTCTTTCAAGGAAGAAGTTAGGGCCTATTATCTCAATACTTGGGGTTTTTCCATACCTCACCACATTAGCAGCATTTGAGGAAATGTTCCAGAAAACAAAATATTTGAACTTGTGAGACATGGAGAAAGTTCTTCTCCTTGAAAGATCAAAGACAATTGTGTTCTCTTCCATTACAGCTCAAATCTCACAATCTTCAAACAACAAGATGCTTTTTTAGGCCTACTTTTCTTGTAGGAATTTGAAATAATGATGTCATAAATCATTTAAAAGTACTTTAATTAGTAGCTAATGAACAGTATGGAATAATAGCTTAAAATGAATATGCCTTCTTTCCTCCTTCAAGAGAAAACCTTATAAATGCATTTAATAACACACTATAAAAAGGGATGAGAATTATGAAAATCAAATGCTGCTTTTATCTCTTTTTCTTTCCTTTTTTTTTTAATTCCCTGCTATTACAAATGGTTCTTGGAGTAAAATCATTGCATAGGTAGGTGTAGGTCTATATGACTATAAAATGCAGAAGCAGGATGCTAGGTTTAGATCCTCTCTAACATCGGCACAGGATATCCCATGGCTGTCCCTCTGCTCGTCACTGCCCCTGCATCAAAAAACCTGTCTCTTGCTGGGAGGCTGGGAAGCTCAGAGCACCACTCTGGAAGGTACACCCAGACTCCTAGATAAAAGCTGTCAGGAAAAAAATGTAAAAGTCATTATTACTTACATTGGAGGGAATACAACTAGAACTAGGAAACAGCAAGTAAAAGATGTCATTTTTAATCTGTAATCTGTATTGTCCCTAAATCAGGCAGCAGAGTTAACTTCACTCATCATGCAAATCTCACTGAGGTGCATGGAACTGGAGGTCATTGCTCTCACACTAGAGATTTCTCACAG